CCAAGGCTTTCACTTGTACTACAAACGAAAAGATCATAACTGGCATAGACCTCCTGGTGTGTTCCAGAACCTCAATGTATAAAGATGCCTTTATCAGAAAGGGGCTCAAAGGCCTCAGGAAAGGGGTCCCAGCGGTTCGTTAGGGGTCAAGTGTCTGCTTGGTGTCGGCAGCACTAAAGTCTCCAAGCCAACTTAGGTGGCTGAGTGCCCGGGCCTCCCCTCTTGGCTCTGAGAGCAAAATAAATACATATACATCCACAACTGTGTTGTTGTTATTATTATACCATGCATTTTAGGTGTGTGTGTGTGTGTGTGTGTGTGTGCTACCAGGGATTGAACTCAGGACCTTGAGCTTACCAGGCAAGTGCTTATTCTACTGAGCTATCTCCCCAGCCCTCCATGCTTACTATAAGTATAAAAGCTTTCATTTTTTGCTGTTCTAGATTTTTTGTGTGTATGTCTATGTGCACATGTGCATGCCTGGGGCATGTATGAAATTTTCCGCCAGGGAAACTGAGGCTTTGTGCAGTTCCACCACCAAGCTCCACCCTCTTGCGAGTGTACTGAGTGGCACTTAGCTGTCCCCACCGTGCCTCCACTCATCTGTCTTCTGGAGGCAAAACTGAAGCTCTAAGTCCCTTTAACAGTAGCTCATGTCCCCTCATCTCCTTGTTGCAGGTGACCATCAGTCTCTGTTCTGTTTCTGGGACTCTTGACACAGTGGGGAGGTCATCCAGTGTGGGAGTCATTAACTGGTATCCATTTTATAATAGTGTGAGCCGCTTTCTTAAGTTTCTAGTTCCCTGCTCAGTTAAGTTTCTGCTCCTTCCCACCTTGCCCATTCCCCGTGAATCACGTGGTATGCCCCAGAGGTGACACCTTCCCCCGTTGCCTAGGTACCTGCTGAGCCCCTAGAGCCGAGACTTCCTCATTCCTACACACCCTCTATATACCCAGCAACTCCCCTGAATAAACAGGACTTGATCAGAATCCTGTCTTGTCCCCATTCTTTGTGTCTCCTGTCCCTTCTCATCCCCACATTCCCTCTAGGGTCCTCGTTGACTAACCCGAGGGTCGGGGACAATCCAAGGTGAATCTGCTAAAGTTTCAGGGAGGTAACGTGCTCAGGCTCCTCCTGGGGAGCAGACATCACTACTTCTTTGCCTTTGAAGGCACAGTGACTTTCCGTTGTGTGGCTGCCCGTGGTGCCCCATTGCC